CACATTACTTTCATAGCATTAAGGAATTATATAGAATCTTTATTTTCAGATAGACATTGTAAGAATTTTTTTTCTTTGCAAAAAGGAAGGATGATTAATGCCATTACAAACAAAGTTTATGAGAGAAATAAAAATATTTCTCTGTGGGTGGGAAGTGTTTCTTCAACATTCAGTCAAATGTAGACACAATAAAACATCCACACCATGCACAGCCTCACTCTGCCTTAAAGTGGCATTCATGGCAGGATTTCAGAATGAAGAAGAGCTTGCACCCCGAACACTGTAGGACACTCCCCTCTGCTACAGGAAAGAGCACGGCCGTGTGTGGGATGGGGCTGAGGATTCCCGCCTCGCTCCACAAGCTCCCACCTCATGAATGGTTCTCGAATACGTCATGCAGAATTCAGACCTATGAAAGTCCTTCCAATAATGGAAGATGGGACATAGGAAGAAGTCATCCCATCATGTTCTTCTTGCAGAAGTAAGATGGAGAAATGAGAAAAAAATGGAAAATTAGTTTCAAGAGGGAAAGGCTAACTCTAGGCAGGGATACGGAAATGTAAAATTTCAGAGTCGGAAGGTTCCTTACATTTGATCGAATCTGACACTTGCATTGTACGTATGAGGAGACTGAGGCTAAGGAAGGTAAAGCGTGTCACACAGTTTGTGAACAAGGTGAATGTGGAGGACACTTCTGCACTGACATTCTTCCACATGTCCTGAATCTTAACACCCAGACTCAGCTGCTGCGGTCCCTCTCAGTCGCATCCAGGGAAGTGGATTTGGGCAGCGAGTTTAGAATAATTGGTACTTAGTAGCTGTGTGACTGGATGAAGGTTACTCAATGTCTTAGGCCTCAGTTTACCCTTGGAAGGAAGGGTGGTCGTTGTCTCTGTCAGGAACCCAGGCGCCTGTGCCTCCTGGGAGGGACGCTGGAACCTGCCTTCCATCCAGGCCTGTGCTGTCCCGATCTCAAACTACATCTTAAAGTGCTTTATGGGGAAGGGGCACCAAATGCGCCTTCATGGGGATGGAGAGAGAAGATAAAGAGAAAAAGGGCAAACAAGAGGGCCCCGTTTGCCGGTCACTCTCTGTCTTACCTTGTGTATAGAATGAAAAGGCCCATTCAGAAATTATTAGTGGAGGGTCTGGTAATTCAAAATGCTTTTGATATATTGAGTAATGTTGGCAAAATTCTTCAAGTTTTCTGAGTTTCAGTTTCTCTGTTATACTTAGATTAAACAAGCAAAAAGCTTTGAACAATTTCAGATTCTTTCCAAAATTCCGATGGGGCTTTTATAGAGCATATTGGTTACTCTGACATTATTGATCACATTGGCGGGCCCTGGATGTGCTTGGGAGAACATTTTCATCCTTCTCTTCTCATTCCTTAATCCAGTAAACCTGTGTTCAAAGAAAGAAGAAAGTAAAACTTAAAAATGCCCATATATGCCTCCCTGACCATTCTCACATACTGAATTTTAGTTACAGTATTGAATATGTTCTCTGTGCCAATATAGCCTGTTACACATTTTAGTCAGAAATCATCGTTAAGCCCAAATCCCACCAGGATGGAGGGAAGGCGGCTGTCAGCTCACAGTCTGTTCTGCAGGGATGCCTTTGAACTTGCTGCTTCACCATCTATATGCCTGGCCCACGTTACACCTCACTGAGGTCTTGGCTTCTGTATGACCTTCCCATGTCCCCAGCACCTGCACACCTCAGCACCCTTTCCCGCCTACCCCACTCTCAGTCTGGATGGGCTCCTCTGACAAACTGCTCTGGATGCTTCTCACCCAGGGCCCGTGGTTCACGTGAGTCAGCAGAGCTCTGCTCCACATGGTCCCTCAGGGCCTGAATGGGTGAGCAGGTCCCACATGAGCTCTTCCAGGGCCCTCCTGGGAGTGGCACACACCACTCTGCCTGTGTTTCACCTTCTCATGAGGTGGCCACACCCAGCCCCAAATGGGAACAGCCCTATCACACACCGGCAAGCAGGGAAGCTGGGGTATTTGGCAAACAGCACCAATGACTGTCATGATCTGTATCTAGCCGCTGAATATTAGCTTATCTCTTTCTCATCAGGGAAAAATACATTCTCCCGTCTTCAAGGGAGGCAACTCAAAAGGTCAGCCTTGTCCTGGCCCAAGGTCAAGGTTGTGTATCCATGTATATATACCTGTCCTGGGAGAGACATCAAGTCTGGATGTGGTTTTCTTTGATACACTGACCTGTCAACGAAGAAACCGATCTGACCTCCCTCCCGCTCCAAACACGCAGTGTGTGTTCTGAGGTGGAAAGGGCCAGCCTGAGTCCCCACTGGGCACATCCTGATGGGCTGGGTTCCCAGAGGTGAGGTTTTTCTTAGATTCAGCTCTAATTCTTTCCCTAGGGTGGGGCCCCTGAGGTATGTTTTCTCTCAGACTCTTGCCTCCATTGTCTGGGAGTGTATTCTTTTTCCATTAACCATTTTTGCCGTGGTAAGGTGGGCATTGGATAATACACCTGCTTTGGGGTCCAAGCAGAGGCTGCCGTCTGCCCATGGAAGACAGGCAGGCAGCAGTACCATTCAATCTCAAGTAGTCATTTTTCTTCCTGACTTGTGGTTCCTTTGGCAGAACTTCCTTAAAATTGAGCCAACTTTCTACCTGAGGCCAGCTTCACGTGTGCACAGCCGCATCTGAGTTCTTTTCTCCGGGCAATGCCAAGAGCTGCTGTGCATCTTTGCTTCTGCAGGCCAGTGCCACTCCCTCTCCCTGGCTTTACTCTGGCCCTTTCTCTCTGAAGTACAGGTATCTGGGCCCTACAGCCTTCAGTGGAAGGGCCACACCTTAGTTTCTTTTCCGTGAGCCATATTTGCATAGTTAAAGACATTACAGGGTGGCAGCCTAATCCATTTAGAGGCTTTAGCAGTGGGGGTGATTATTTCTGCCACGTTGTTTCAGCAGGCGTTGGCACTGCAAGCTGTGCTCCATGTTCTGCTGTAGAGATCAGGACGAGAGGCACTTGCCTCTCCCAGCCCCGCCAGACCTCAAGTGTGCTGTGTCTGTCTTTCCTCTTTTATAACAGCTTTCAAATCACCGGGTTCTTTTGGAGATAATTTCCTTCCTGTGGTAACTTACCAAGCACAGAGAATAGCACTCAGTGCATTCTAATAACCATTCCTTTTCCAACCTCTGCCCAGAGAGCTACCCGCTCCTTAGACGGGTTCTGTCTCATTAGAGGTTTCACCCATGCGAGGCACCGGGCGTCTGGCCTCCAGTCCCACATTCCTGAGCCCTAAGGATCAATGCTACCCGCTTTCGTTTCGTTTCACCACTCTTTGAACCCCAATTTTGTATCAGTCAGCACATGCTAGGTCGTATGACAGAAGCACACATGCACACACTCACACACACGCTAACACACACGCCTTCACTGTGTGGCTCTGGGTTCAGAGTCTGTCAGCGAGAGGCAGGCCACATTTTGGAAGGCGGGAACGAGGCTGAGGCCATTCGTCCCCAAGGGCACATTCAGACAGACACATGGACTTGGGAGGGTCCATCTGGTTGCTGAGATGCCACGCATGACCTGCCATGGCTGCTGAGCCTCAAGAGGCTTCTGGAAAAGCTCACCAAGAACCTGCTCCCAGCTGCTGCTTTCCTGCCATTTGCTCCCCCAACTGCGCAAATGCTTACGCAAGACTCACATCGCCTGTTCCATAATTCCCTCTGTGCTGGATGCCTGGATACCTTTTGTTTCCTCTAACTTGAATCCTTAGTAATGCACCAGCCTTATTTTTGTGTGTGGCGTGAATGACCACCAGCCTATTTATTTAAGGCCTGTCTTCCCTGAATAGAATATAAACTCTAGGAGGGAGGGGGGTTTCTTGTTGGCACAGTGCTGGGTCTTCCTTGGTTTGAAAAGTGTGGCATACTCAGAGAAGCAAGGAAATGATGAATGAATGCATTAGTTAATGAAAGACCAGTTGAATTATAAACCTGAAATTGAATTGCCTATCACAGAAAGATTCTAAAATGGGAAACTCAATGGAAATGGTAAATATGGGATTTGTTGAGAATCACAAAATTCAGACTCTGCAAAAGTGATACATTTATAATATCTAATGCATAACAAAAATTATGAAAGGTATAAAAATCCCTTACAATCAGCCTCTGCATCCCTCTTACCATGAACCTAAAATAATTCTTTAAACTGTGATGAGGGGAGTGGCCTCTGAGGCAGCCCAGTCTACAGGCACTTCTTCGAGACTCCTAGAGTGCCCCTAGGATAGAATCAGCCCTAACTGTTTGATGGCTGCAGTAAAGTCTTACTGGGCACCGTGAACACTGCAGTGGCTTCAACCCTGGGCCTTTGCCTCTGTAATTTGTACCTCTTCAGCCTGCACTTGGAATCAGCACTTGGCTTGGGTGGCTGTCCTCTCTACAGTTCTTGGTTGTATTTTATTTCTTACTTTTCTTTTTGTTTTGCTTTTTGTTGTTTGAGAAGACTCAAGTACAAATAGTCATAACTATTATATGACCGAATATGCATGGATCACTTGCTCTCTGCCAGGCACTAACGGTGCTCATTTAATCACTTCCTTTTATCTTCATAACACCTTGAGGAGGTGGACACTATTGTGTCCCCCACTTTATAGATCAGAGAATCGAGGCTCCAGTAGGTCCTGCTTCCTGTCAGGGCTTGGACTTGTGAGCCTAGAGTTTGCCTCCACACCCTGAAACAGATTCTACTGTCTCCCTTAGCTTTTCTTCACACTTCATATATTTATTGCAACTTAAGATTTACCTTATGTCACATGATGTTACTATACTGTTGATGAATAATGTTGGTCATCATTCACTGAGTGCTTGCCATGTTGAAGCAGTCTCTATCAGAAAGAGAACTGGGGAGGTGAAGATGTCAACATGGAGAGAACACAGAATGTTTGACAAAGAGAACAAATTATACAGAACATTTATTAATAGAACTGCCTTGCCTCTCCTTCTGCTCTGTTTCAGGAATACCAAATTGACATATTTTTTGCTCAGACCTGGACAGATAGTCGCCTTCGATTCAATAGCACAATGAAAATTCTCACTCTGAACAGCAACATGGTGGGGTTGATCTGGATCCCAGACACCATCTTCCGCAATTCTAAAACCGCAGAGGCCCACTGGATCACCACCCCCAACCAGCTCCTCCGGATTTGGAATGACGGGAAAATCCTTTATACTTTGAGGTAAGACGCTGCTTGGATCTCCGATTACTCCTGGTTTAAAATGGGATCCTTAATTTGAATCGTTGTAGGAATGAGACCCGATTTTCGTCTCTAAGTCTATTCTCTTTCACGTGAGACATGCTACAGCATCCTGAGAAAGTTGGCCCTCATGCCACATGTGTAAAAATAAAAGCATACAGGTGATCCACAGAGAATATAAGCTCATTTTTTCAGAATCCATTTCTGCTGGAAGTAGGCTGTGAAGGTTATTCTTAATAGATTTACACTGTGGGTCCCCTCACCTAGGAAAAGACAGATGTCGGCGCACTAAACAAATGCAGTTTGAGTGAATCTGAGACCACAGGGAAGATGGGGAGAGTAGGCCCCTTTCCCAGGCATATCCATGAGGGAAGGAGCAGCTCCCCTGGAGTGTGTCCTCCTAGAGGCAGGGAAGTCTTCGAAGAAACCCGGAGAGGTAAGGGAAACTGAACTTCCAAGAAGGAAACTGACTCACCCACAGTCACCACTGGGAGCCTGTCTCCCAGGTCTTTCTGCTGGGATGGTCAGAGTCTAACTGAACACACAGCAACAGCACTAGCAATGACGGGCCCTCCACCCTCCTGTCTGCTCGCCCAGCACAGGGACTGGACGGTCCCTCCAGCAGTGTCCTTTGAGCGGTTGGTGCTGCCCCAGAGGGCACTGCACTCCCTTCTTCCTGATGGCTCAGAAGCCCTGGGTGCAGCTAGCCTTTGCTCTCACGGGCTCGCTCTCACTGCCCCAGGGCACAGGGCTGCTTCCTCCACCTGCTCTGTGGCTACATCTTCCCGCTCTGCTCTTTCTGCCTCAGGGCTTGACCCTGTCACTTTCCTCTCCTTACCCATCCTTACTGGCTTAGCTCATCCATCCTGAGAATGAAAGCCGTGTGTGTACTGAGATTTCCACAAGGAGAAATCTGATTCCTAACATTAAATAAATGTCCACAGCACACACATAGGCCCAGATGGACTTTAAAATAAGCAGACGGTGAGAGAGTGTTAAAATTTCAGGGAAATCCTCATTTTGCCAGGGAGGGAACAATTACAGCAAAAAAAAAAAAAAAAAAAAAAAAAACAAAAACAAAGCCACAGCTGGGAACTGTGTGGATGAAATACATTGGGAGCTGGGGTTTGTAGAAGTTGTCTCCTCATCAGTTGTACAGCCATACACCGGAGACTCTGACATGACATAAAGCCTCAGCAAGCCGGGGCCAAGACCCAGCCAGTTCTGGGACCCCGTGTAGACACTGAAGTATGAGGCTACTGCCCTGGGAGGAGGCAGGGCCCCCATTTGGCGGAGCCACCACCTGCCTAGTGAACTATGGGGCAGTTGTCCAAACAGGAAATCCCCCCCGATGCGTGCATTAATTTGGCATAATAGCTGTTTAGATAAACACACCAGTTTCTAAATGGAGGAAGGATTTAATTCAAACAGATTGACAACAACAACTTATAAAACAACAGTTGGTTTTGTCTCCTCTCTGACTTGGCGTGTATTTCTAGACATAGTTGGAATTTTACTAACTGGAATTCTCTGTGCCACTGATAGTTAAAAGCAAAACAAAATAACCCAACATGAAAGCAACACAGCACAGTCTCACCGTGAATGGCTCCCTGGCCAAGAGTGAGCCGCGTGTGCTGCCCTGGGTAACAGAGCGGCCCTCCCCATCCCTACATGGGGTGCCGTAGCAGCCGCCAGCCTTGCCCCGTGCTGTTTGCCGACCTGGACTGACGCTTGGCTCTTCCGCAGGCTCACCATCAATGCCGAGTGCCAGCTGCAGCTGCACAACTTCCCCATGGACGAGCACTCCTGCCCGCTGATTTTCTCCAGCTGTGAGTACCAGTCCCGGCCCGGGGTGTGCATGCTGTGTGAGTGATGCCTAGCCTGGTGCTGCTTCTGTCAAACAGCCATGCGATTGATCACAGCGTCCCTGCACACACAGAGAAAACTGATGATGGTTTTGGTATTGACTACCTGGGCATTCTCACTCTAGACCTTGTCGCGTAAGAGCCATGTTACAAAATAGGTGATCTCGATAAGGCTGTGAGCAACTTGACCATCCATAATCAGAAACTGATCAACAGTTGATTTACCAAAAGACCCTTATGCTAATGAGCTGTGCATACTATTCGGAAGTATACAAAATTCCTACGTAATATTTTAGATTTAACATTATCTTTTTAAAATTTATTTTTAATTTTTATTTATTTATTTATCTATTGAGACCGAGTTTTGCTCTTGTCACCCAGGCTGGAGTGCAGTAGCACGGTCTTAGCTCACTGCAACCTCTGCCTCCCGGGGTTCAAGTGATTCACCTGCCTCAGCCTCCTGAGTAGCTGGGACTATAGGCACGTGCCACCACGCCCAGCTATTTTTGTATTTTGTATTTTAGTATATTTGTATTTTTGTATTTTTAGTTGGGGTTTCACCATGTTGGTCAGGCTGATCTCGAACTCCTGACCTCAGGTGATCCACCCACCTCGGCCTCCCAAAGTGCTGGGATTACAGGCATGAGCCACTGTGCCTGGCCGATTTAACATTACCTTAAAGCAAGGTGATTTGTCTACTAAGTAGAAAGATACAAATTTTTCTTTAATTTTACTTACATTTGTCTCATTGAACCATTGTAAGATGATATAATTTTTCATAGTATTTTATCTTCCAACGTTTTACTTATGGTAGATGTCATAGTTATCAAGTAATCCTTTACAAGTTCCTAAAGACAACATCTACTGCTAAGTATAAGAGTGCATATAACAGGAATATCAAATATCAAATCTATACAATTTTTAAGTTAAAATCAAAATGGAAAGATATCTGGTGAATGAATTTACAATGGGCCATTTTAAATGAATTAATCACAAGTACTTATGTATGACTCATAAGAATTCAGTTTATTGTACTGGCTTTCTTTAAAATTGCATATGGGGCCAGGTGCGGTGGCTCATGCCTGTAATCCCAGCACTCTGGGAGGCCGAGGATTGTGGATCACAAGGTCAGGAGATCAAGACCATCCTGGCTAACACGGTGAAACCCCATCTCTACTAAAAATACAAAAAATCAACTGAGGGTGGTGGCAGGTGCCTGTGGTCCCACCTACTCCGGAGGCTGAGGCAGCAGAATCGCTTGAACCCGGGAGGCAGAGGTTGCAGTGAGCTAAGATTGTACCACTGCACTCCAGCCTGGGTGACAGAGTGCGACTCTGTCTCTAAATAAATAATAAATAAATAAATAAATAAATAAATAAATAAATAAAATTGCATATGGAACATGACAAACAAATCTGATGAAATCTCATGTAGAAGTTTTTGTGGCTTGCTTCATTGAACATTATTGATCTTTCTCTGAACCTTCAAATGAACTGTAAAATATGTTCGTCCCTTATTTTACTTTTGCTTCTGTTCCTTGCATGTGTGGGGCCTGTGGAGGCCCAGGTCCAGGTCTGCAGAGATCAGCGGAGCTCTGCACACTATGCACGTGTTCTCACCGGAAACCGTATTTCTTTCTGTAATAGCTTCCCTCATTCTGTCATGCTGTAAAAATGTGTTTAAATCATTCACAGAGCCTTTTAAGTGCTCAGTTCCGGGAGGGATTCTGTGCACGTGGACTCACACAATACTGCTAGAAAGAAGAGTGCTGGTATCAATTGTTTTAAAAAGATATTTATAGCAATAACATAAATTCTTAAAGACAATTCACACGTACTCGGGGAAATACGTAAAAGTGAATGCCTTTCTGGAATTAGTTGACAATGAGCATAGAGTACTAGGAAGAAATCTGGATAGTAGTAAAAACGGTTTGTGAGACCAGCCACATCTGTTTCCCTGTTTCTGCTGTGTCGTGTAGTGATGGTGGTCAGAGTGAATGTGGGAGCTGGGGGTGGACAGTCTTATATATCGTGTCAGAAAGTGGCACTTCCAATGCATGAGCAAAAAAAGGTTATTATATCTGAAAATCAGGGAGTGGCAGGATCAAATTTATGTTCAGCAACCGTATAAGATCTTATAAGAGCAAAACTGGATGTACACAGTTATATGGCAGAAAATCTGAAACACTGGCAACCTTAAATGCGGTGGGGATGTGGGGCAACAGGAACTCTCACTCACCGCTGGGGAAATGCACAATGTCACAGCCCTTTGGAAGACAGCTGGGTTGTCTCTTACAGAACTAGACATGCTGGTACTATATGATCCAGAATTTGTACTCCTTGGCATTTACCAAATGAATTAAAACTTACGTCCACACCAAAACCTGTGTACAGGTGTTTGTAGCAGCTTCATAGTTGCCAAAATTTGGAAGCAACCAAGATGTCCTTTGATAGGAGAATGGATAAACAGACCACGGCATATTCATGCAATGGAATATTATTCAGCACTACAAAGAAAGGAGCTACTAAGCCATAAAGAGACATGTAGGAAACTTAAACGCCTATTTACTAAGTAAAAGAAACCAATCTGAAAAGGCTGCATACTCTGATTCCAACTATATGACATTCTGGAAAAGGCAAAACTGTAAAAACAATAGAAAGGTCAGTGGTTGCCAGGGGTTGTGGGCAGAGGGAGGATTTTTAGGACAGTGAAACTATTATATATGATACTGTCATGTTGGACATATTTGTCAAACACATAGAATGTACAACGCTGAGAACGAATGCTAAAATCAGTCCCTGGACTTCAGGTGATAACGACGTGTCAATGTAGGTTCATTGATTGTAACAAATGGACTGCTCTGGTGGGGGATGTTGATAGCTGGGGAAAGGAGTACTTGGGAGCCCTGTACTTTCTGCTCAATTTTTCTGTGAACCTAAACCTGCTTCTTTTTTTAAAGTCTAGTAAAAGAAAAAATTATTGGAGGTAAAGAAATCAATTAGGAATCTATTGCTGTCATAAACCACAATGTTCCATAATATCAAATTTAAAAAATATCAAATTAAAGAAAAAACTTGGTTTCCCAAAATACAAAAGAGTGCTTTAAAGTATAAGTTTTTGAACCACTTTACATGTGTAGCATTAATTCGTATGTATAGGATTCACTATTCATAAATGAGAATAATAACACTCTCCTAATGAAAACACTCATTGGTAACTTGGAGTGATGGAGGATACTTGCATCTAAATCAGTTTGGTGCCTAAGTTGTTTCCACATGATGGGTGTCCACTTTTAGGAAGACGCCGATTCTAATACCAATAAGCAACTGAAAGTGAAGTGAGCCGGGTGCAGTGGCTCATGCCTGTAATCCCAGCACTTTGGGAGGCCAAGGCAAGCAGATCACGAGGTCAGGAGTTCAAGACCAGCCTGGCCATTATGGTGTATCTCTACTAAAAATACAAAAATTAGCCGGGTGTGGTGGCGTGTACCTGTAATCCCAGCTACGTAGGAGGCTGAGGCAGGAGAATGGCTTGAACCCAGGAGGCAGAGGTTGCAGTGAGCCAAGATCATGCCACTGCACTCCAGCCTAGGCAATAGAGTGAGACTCCGTCTCAAAAAAAAGAAAGGAAAGAAAGTGAAGTAGTGTCCATGTTTGTGAACAGTTAACCTTGCAGTATCCTGATATTTTTCAATTAAATACACTCAGAAGCTGTATTTTTCCACTTAAAAATTTTACAATAACAAAGTTGAACAACTAGTTATATTCACTATCATACAAATAAAAGTTAGAAAAACTGCCCAAAATGTACAGTAAGATATAAAGTGATCGTAAAATTGACTAACAACTGTTAGGCTGGTCTTGGCTCTCTGAGTAGCAGAAGCAAAACCTCTCAAACAATGACAAGTATGTAAGATTTTCCAATATATGCACAGAGATGAGGCAATAACATTTGCTATATAACATGTTTGGGTAATGGCTTTAATTTTTATTTTTAAATAGTTGAGATTTTTGAAATAATATTTTAATTAATTAAAAATTTTCTATAGCACTTTCTGTAGTCATTGAGGTTAAGGATCACATTTTAAAAATTCCTAAAATGTACTTTAAAAGGTAATGTTATAAGTTTCTTTAAACTTGTTAAAATTATTAAAACTAAATTTTAAATTACTTATATGGATGAATTAAAAGTGAATTTGATATGGACTCTTGGACAAACATTTTTGGTGTCCAGAACTTGGCCATAATTGTGTAGTTAGTGCACTCATAGAAATTGAACCATAAAGAATATTCAATTGCAAACAGCATTGATTGTTTTATTCATTTCCTATTACTCCTGCAACAAATTACTGTAACCTTAGTGGCTTGAAACAACATAAATTTAATATCTTACATTTCTGTAGATTAGAAATCTGAACTGGGCTAAAATCAAGGTGTGGGCAGGGCAGCATTGCCACCTGGAGGCTCTGGGCTCCTAGAGGCTGCCCACATTCCTTGACGTGGGTCCCCTTCCTCTATCTTTGGAGCCAACAACAGCACCCCTCTCTGATCCCACTTTTGTCATCATCTCTCTCTTAGACCACAGACAGGAGAGCTCTCTGGGTTTTGAAGACCTGTGTGATTAGGTTGGGCTCACCCACATGGGCCAAGATGATCTCCCATCTAAGATCTTTCACTTAATCACATCTTTGAAGTCCCTTCTGCCACATAAAGTGACATAGTAGCAGGTTCTGGGGTTCAGAGTGTGAATGTCCTTGCTGGTTACTAGTTTGCCTGCCATAATTACTAGTGACTGAGGGCATTCCAAGACTTGGGAACCTGCCTGGTAGATGTGCCATTCACAATTCTCAGATTGTGGGGAGAATCTACACAGCAGAACAAGCCCAAAATACATTTCACTAAAAGGAAAAATCATCTCCTGTGAATTATGACAAACTGTCTTGTTTAATCTGTGTCTTGTTTCGG